CAAGTGAGTTCCAGGAAAGGCGCAAAGCTACACAGAGAAACCCTGTCTCGAAAAACAAAAACAAAAACAAAAAAAAAACAAAAAAAACAAAAAAAAAAAAACAAAAAACAAAAAACTAGAAATCCTTTTGAAGACAAAGTTGTCTCTAAAGGAAATACTGGAAATGTTTTTAAATACCTGGATGAGCTACTTAATCCCAAGCATAGTTAAGTGTTATTTGTGGAATAATTGCTTTAAAAAAAAATGTTTCCTCTGCCGGGTGGTGGTATCACACACCTTTAATCCCAACACTCACAGAAGGCAGAGGCAGGCAAATCCCTGTGAATTTGAGGCCTTCCAGGTCTACAAGGCAAATTCCAGGACAGCCAGGGCTACACAGAGAAATCTTGTCTCAAAAAAACTAAAAGAGAAAAGTTTCCTCTGAGACCTTGAACACTACAGTGGTTCTGCTGCATGTTATCAAGTCTGAGGTGGCTTTGGGAAGTAGATTGGTATCTGTTGTGAAAGTAGGACTTGGGAAAAATATAGGCTGTGCTTTTTAGGAGTATGTGTGTCAAGAATAAATGAATTCACTTTCTACAAGAATGCCTTGTTTTTAGAATATTTGTAAAAGATAATTTTACATTAAAATCAAACTTACAGGATTGACTCTTGAATTCTAGACTAACTTTGAATAATTGGACCTGCAGATTGACTATCCACCATTTGAGAAAAATTTTTACAATGAACATGAGGAGATAACCAACCTCACTCCACAGCAGTTAATAGACCTGCGGCATAAACTCAACCTTCGGGTAAGAATCATTAAGCAAGTATTCTTAGGTTAATGTTGGTTTGAGTTTAGAATTACTGTTTATCCACATAATAACCCTGGGTTTATTTACTAGTGAGAGTATAATTATAGCCCTGGAGTTTGTGTCCTGATTTGATTGTTTAGTCCTATAGATGATATTTCAGAAAGATTATTTCAGTTTTAACTTTCTCTTTTTAAAAGCTCTGTGCGCGTGTGTGCGTGTGTGTGAAGTGCATTTACCTGCAGAGTCTTCTCACTGGCCCTATGTTTTGTTTTGCATATTTAGTCAACGTTGTACTACTGTGCTGGGTGGGTTAGCAATGAAAGATAGAAAGCTCTGATTCAGAGACAGGAAGTAGAATTAATAGATGTGAAGAACCTATGAAGTGTTAGAATATTTTAAAATTACAATATATTTGCTTCAAGTTACATATAGTGCATATATATTTTTTTTTAAGATTTATTTTTTTAATGTATGAGTGCCCAATCTGTATGTACACCTTTATTCCAGAAGCGGGCATCAGATCCCACTAGAGATTGTGAATCACCATGTGGTTGCTCAGGATTGAATTTGGGACCTCTGGAAAAGCAGCCAGTGCTTAACTGCTGAGCCATCTCTCCAGTGTCTAGTGCACTCTTTTTAAAATATTACATAAATGAGGAGGCCTGGAGAGTTGGCTCAGTGCTTGTTATTTAATCATGAAAACTGAAGTTTAGATATTTCCACATAAGTAGTAGACATCCCACAAACAAACACCTGTTCATCAAACTCAGGGGTCTCAGTCAGACCTTCTTCTCTGGATATCCACACACAAATCTTTTTTTTTTTTTTTAAGTATTCAAATAAGTGATTGTCTTTTAAAAAAAACCACCTATGTATAATTTTATAATAATATTTTAAATTTCCTACCAAAAAATTGAGTTTTGCTCGTTTAGCATATTGTTTAGAATGTTTTTATGTATTAAAGTCAAATAGCAAAGAGAATATGTTTACTGTAGTGTGAATAACTGTGGTCTATTTCTACTTTATTAGTTGCTAAATGGTGTTTGAAACTCCAGTTTTCAAAGACAAAGTAGTTTGTATATGTGTATATATGTGCACAAATATGTTTGCCCTCTTGTTTACTAGTACTCCTTCCCTCAAATAAGGATCTTTAGTAATAGCCAGACGGTGGTGGTGCACATCTTTAATCCCAGCACTCAGGAGGCAGAGACAGTTGGATCTTTGAGTTCAAGGCCAGCATGGTCTACAGAGCTAGTTCCAAAGGACAGAGAAACTCTATCTTGAAAAAACAAAACAAATTAAAAAAAAAAAAAACCCTTTAGTAATAAAATCCTTGGAAATCATGAGCATCATCAGAGAAGCAATGAAAAGTTACTGCTACTGTGTAGACAAAATAGGGTCAATAATCCCCATTCTTTAGCTAGTTGGAACAAGGCTTGATAGTGTCTAGACCATCACTAGGAGAAGCATTAACTCTTGAAACATCAGTCAGTTACATCTTTCTAACCAGTGGCTATAAATGTGATTTTAATCTTATTTGCAATTTTAATTTGCTTCAAGAGTAATCTTAATTTTTTGTTATCCTCATTAATGTTTATTCAGAATGGCAAAAACAGTGTTAATGACTTTTTCACTTAGTTAAGTAATTTGTTTCTATCTTATGAGAAAATTAATTTTAAGATAGTTTTAGGTGCTTAGTCATTTAAGAGCATTTGATTGAATTGTGTCAGGAATTCTTACCATGATATTTTTTGTTTTGCCTTTTTGGTGTATACTTTTGCTTACATATACATACTTTTCACTCTTTATATCTTAGTTAAAATGCTTGATCTGAGTGGGTATTGTTGAACTTTAAATGCTTTTTAAGTGAAAGTGCTGGTATACTGGCAATTGTCTTTGTCTCTAGGTCTCTGGTGCTGCACCCCCTAGACCAGGAAGTAGTTTCGCTCATTTTGGGTTTGATGAACAACTTATGCACCAGATTCGGAAATCTGAGTACACACAGCCAACTCCAATACAGTGTCAGGTATGTAATATATAATGGGAGGAAAATGAAGCAGAGCAATAAGAAATCTATAGTTTTATTTAAAACTCCTTTTTTGCTGGGCAGTGGTGACATAACGCCTTTAGTCCCAGCACTCGAGAGTCAGAGGCAGGCGGATCTCTGTGAGTTCGAGGCCAGCCTGGTCTACAGAATGAGATCCAGGACAGGCACCAAAGCTACACAGAGAAACCCTGTCTTGAAAAAACCAAAACAACAACAACAACCCTCCCTTTTTTTGTGGTTCCAGTACTAGGGATCAAACCCAGGGCTTTATACACGCTAATAAGCAAATTCTCTTCCACTAAATTGTATTTAAAGTCCTGAAATTTTTAAAGATTGAAGCAACTGGTGTAAGAAGTTGCTAACTGGCTGGGAAAATGTGTTTTTATACCTGCTAAATACCTTGAACATATGATATGAAGAAAATACTTTATTGCCTAAACCTCAGAAAAAAGATTTGTGCATGGATATATTTGGTGCTTTTGATAACTAGAATTCCTTTGTATATTACTATTTCATTACTGAGACTAATAGCTTCTATTTCCCATTCAAATGTGGGGCTTATCTATGCCTTTACAAAAATAATGAGAAACTTGTGTATATAAATGGCCTATTTCGCCGGGCGGTGGTGGCGCACGCCTTTAATCCCAGCACTCGGGAGGCAGAGCCAGGCGGATCTCTGTGAGTTCGAGGCCAGCCTGGGCTACCAAGTGAGTTCCAGGAAAGGCGCAAAGCTACACAGAGAAACCCTGTCTCGAAAAAACCAAAAAAAAAAAAAATAATAAATAAATAAATAAATAAATAAATGGCCTATTTCTTTTTGAGGGGAGAACATAAAAACTAACTTTTTTATTTTATGCATATGGGTATTTTACTTACATGTATGCCTGCTTACCACTTGCATGCAGTGCCTGTAGAGGCCAAGGGAGAGAGTTGGATGCCCTAGAACTGGAGTTACAGACAGTTATGGGCCACTGTGTTGTGCTCATTATTGAATTTGAGCCCTCTGGAAAAGCCACCAGTGGTCTTAACCACTGTGTCATCTCTCCACTTCCATTCAAAAATTTTTAATAGCTTCTTTTATAAATCCTAAGTTTTTTTTCAATATATTGATACAAATGGAAGTCTTTTTTAAAAATATATATGTGATAGCTGAGCCACATGAAGATAATATTTCCTTTAAATCAAGTTGATGGGAATGTCAGGATTCAGCTTGTGTGTGTGTGTGTGTGTGTCCTGGGATATTTTTGTTCCATTGGAAATGAATGTCATCTGTAGTCGTTTTCCCAAGTGTATCTTTAGAATTGAAATTTTAGAGTATATATACCTTTTCTTTCTTTTCTCCTTCTCTAGGGTGTACCTGTAGCATTAAGTGGTAGAGACATGATTGGTATTGCTAAAACAGGCAGTGGGAAAACGGCAGCCTTTATTTGGCCCATGTTGATTCATATAATGGATCAGAAGGAATTAGAACCAGGCGATGGACCAATTGCTGTGATTGTGTGTCCTACTAGGGAGCTTTGTCAACAGGTATGTGCTTTGTAAAAGGCTCCTTTCCACATTTGAACCAGCAAGAGACAGTGAGTAGAGTGACCTATGAATTTTTAGTTTTTGTTGCTTTGAGGTGCATGCATTGGCACACACATACATGTGGGGCCACTTAAAAGAGGCCTGAGACTGACTCTGGGTGTCCTCCTAGATTCATCTTCATGTTTGCTGGGCTGTTCCTGCTAGTCTGGCTATAGCCTTCTGTCTCCATCTCCCGGGTGCTTCTGGGATTATTGACAGGGCATCATGCTCACCCAGCTTTTATATGGGTTCCAGAAGTCTGAATGTCAGTCCTTACGCTTGCATGGCAAGTGCTTAACCCACTCAGCTGTCTTCCCAACCTCCCCTGACTTCTGTTTTCAATGTGAGAAAACTATATACAAAAGTGGCCATCTTCAGCCATTTTAGGTATATAGTTCAGTGGCTGACACTTCCGTCATATTATTCACATTATTCTCCTAGAAAAGTCTTAAGAAATGTTAGATATTATTCATAACAAGGATAACATACCAATTTTTTTTTAAACTCTCAAGGGGGTGTGGGTATTGTAGGAATTGTTTTTATTATAAGCTCATAATGTTTTCTCTGGTGAGTTTAATTTTCCTATTAAAATGATAGGATCAAGAATAAGATGAGCCGGGCGGTGGTGGCGCACGCCTTTAATCCCAGCACTTGGGAGGCAGAGGCAGGCGGATCTTTGTGAGTTCGAGGCCAGCCTGGGCTACCAAGT